CAAATGAGTAAAATCCAGCTGGGTAGACTATACTCGATAGAGACAAAAATTGCCGCCACAAATAAGAGTTAGTATATTTTGAGTGTGTTCTTGTTTTGGTGGAAATTACTCTTAGTCATTTTTTGAATTAGTGTAAGTGTTCATTTACACTAATTTTTATGGATCCTTAATAAGTATACTAATTTTATTAGTACTCAAGACCGGTCTCTGTTTCGGAATGCTTGCACATTGGAATGTTAGCTTACTGCCAATATGTATAGAAGTAGTACATATAAGGCGCATGTAATAGACTTGAATTGATATGAAAAGTAATGTATGTATGTGGGTATATGAATAACGATCGCTTAAAATCGATCTCAAATTTTGTACAACGCTTCTATCATCTTGCAATGTTATGTGTCCAGACAGCTATGAAAGCTTTGCTTTGCAAAGTTCCTATAAAGTCTAGACATCAACCTCGTTGGTTGGACGCCATTTCTTTAAATGAAATTAATTGATGCTCGTATGTATGTACATACATATGTATATGCATGTGTGTGCACCAAAATATTAATATCGTGGAATTATTTTAATATCTATTGCAAAACATACAGACAAGACTAAAAAGTAGAAAGTAAATAAAATAAAAAAAAATTTTAATTTTCAATCTCATAAATTAAGTTATTTATGGCTTTTGCTAAAATTTCAAGATCAAAAGTTATCAAAACAAATTCTATGCGACTGAGAATTATTATTTTCTACTTTTTAGTCCATTTATAAAAGCGTTGTATATTAAAAAGTTCTTTTTTTTAATTTTATTTTTATTACTTTACATTAATGCAGAACGATAATTGACCTTCAGGTTGCTGATATGGCATCGAAAACGTAACAATGGAACCGAGGTGAATTCATATAAGGTGGTGTTGTTTCATCAGCAGTGAGAAGCGTTTGATTGCCAAATTTTCTATTTCGCTAGTGAGTGACTGAAAAAGTTCATTCGGCGAATAACCGTTGAAATTTGACAATGGCCCACTAAAAGCAAAAACAAATACATACAAGTATTTGTTGAATCGATACCACCTTATATGAATTCGCCTTGAATGGAAATACTTTCATTTTTGTATCATGGTTTTATTCGTTTTGAAAAATATCAATTTGGTTTTGTGTAGCAACTAAATATGAAATGTACAATATTCCGGATAGAGCAAGAAATTACTTACGTTGCAAGCTCCTCGATTCCCAACGAGTGTAAAACTGTTGGTAAACTCGGTAGAGAATGGCACGTTGTGAGTTCCTTTTGGCGAGGGTAATAAAGTGTCAGCAGCGTGCAACTTTCCTCTTTCATAGTTAAGCCACCTGGAGAGAGACGTAATAATAGTATAATGATGAAAAAATAAAGAACGAACAATTTTTGACAGTGGGATAAGTATTTAAAACCGGAGAACTTGCAACAATGAGAAGGCTCAAATTCAAAACAAGCCTATTCTCATCAACAATTTGCCATTGTTGTCGACGGTAGCTCGAAGCTACCACACCTCAACGGAACGCCGGCTGCCGTCCCGATTTTTATATCATTTTTATCACGTCTTCAAATTTTAATTCCACCACTCTAACAAGGTACGTAGCATAAAAAAGTAAAATTACAACGAAAAGAAATGTGATCAGCGCCTGACAAAGGGGTTGCTTGCGGAGGTAGAGGCATACTGGTGTTAGATCAAAAAATAGAAAAATATTAGAGAAAAAATAACATTAGGGAAAAAGACTTTCTTAATTTAAAAAAAAATCCGTGTGTAACACCGTACACATGATAGAAGTGAAACTTCTTAAAAAAGGTGTGAGTACCAGGTACCTACTCACGAAATTGGATGTGTAAACATATGTCTACGGTTCGGCAAACCATTAGACGATTGAGTTACATACATTGGTTTGGTTAGAAATCAAACAATAATTTCATTTCATCTTATTAATTTTCTGGTATACATATAATTTATTTATTCATTTTCCGGTAACACCACCTTATATGAATTCGCGCTTCTAGCATCCATAGGACCGGGTTGTATTGGAAGTAATTGTATGTTTAACAAATAAATGAAAATGTTTATAATGCAATCAATAGATCCTCACGAATTCGCCGTTACTAAGGCACTAAGTAACGTGCGCACTTTTGTTTGCAAAATGCATTTATTTAAGTTGAAAGAAGACAAATTCCTTTGTTCGGAATTTATTCTTACTCGCTTTCTATCTTCCAAGGCGAATTCATATATTCTTATCACGAATTCATATATTCATGTGATAGCAAGAGTATAAAAACATAAAATTACCTTATAAATTAAAAGCATAAGTATCACATGTATGCGTAGTCCAATTCACGAAATCATTTCATCGATCTGAGTAAAAACTAAGTGCATAAACTCTATTTCGCGTTAATTGAAATCATGAAATGGTCTTCATTCATTCAGTTTCTACACAAAGGCATGAAATGATTTCGTGAATTGGCCTACGCACAGTGGTAGTAAATAACAGAATGAATTACAACAAACACATCCTTTTGACATAATGCAAGCCGAAAACGTTGGTTCAAATCAATCCGCNGCAATCAAGTTGGACGTTTTGCCCACAACCATTGCAATTTTGCGAGCAGTCTCATTGTAAAATCTCATTTTAACAATTTCGTAGTTTCGGCTTTCATTTATAAAATTCAACGAAAGCACATACCTATTTTGGCTGAGTTATCCATTTTCGGTTATTTAGTGTACAAATAAAACGAAAATTAAATGAGTTTGTACAACATGGCCATTAATGTAGCAACAAGTTGTACAACTTGCCAGAAAATCCAAATTTTTTGATCTTTCATACAACCAAGACATAAATTCATTCAACAGGCCCACAAACGGTGCAATCTAGAGCAAAATAACACCAAGTTGAACCAACGGTCGCTACGTTTATGTTTTTTTTAAGAAAGATCGGTCGAAAATTTCAACTGCTCCTGTAACACTACCTTATATAAGTTGGACTTGCTATCATCCTCACATATCGCACACCGTCTTCAAAAGAGTCACAACTCAAAATTTGGCATTTTCGAGATTAGGCGCTAAAAAGGTACACAAAGCTTTTATTTGCTAATCAGCAAAAGCTGGGGAAACTTTTTGTCATAATTTGTTCAAAAAAAACCTAAGGTAAAGCGCCCTTGCCCATATGATTATCATGTTCTAAGAAATAGTTTTTCTTACTTTAGACAAGTAAGAAAGTCTAAGTTCGGGCGGAGCCGAACATTAAATACCCAGCGCAAGTATTAAATATATGTTTTTCACCTTTCCGAAAGCTACCGCTATATGGTAAGCCGGGGTGCATCAGTTTTGAGTACATTGGCGTCCTTAAATTTCGAAATATCGCAGTTTCAAGCATTTCTGAAATTTACCGTTATATGAAAAGCGGCCGAAATTTTAGTCCGATTTCAAATTTTTTGGTTCTATGGGGCAAGTACAATAACCACACCAAGTTTGGTACAAATTTGTAGAACGGTTACAGAGATACAAATATATGATCATAAGTGGGCGGTGCCACGCCCATTTTCCAAAATTATATCATAAACGTATTTCGATAAGGAATTGTTGCAAGCCTTAATTTTGAATAAATTATGTTTAATATTTACTGATTTATCGAAGATTTCGTATTTCTCTAAATTACTGTTATATGGGATGTGGGCGTGGTTACTGTCTGATTTTAAAATTTTTCGGCCATTTTGTATGTCGTATCTAGGCCAACAACTGTGCCAAGTTTGAAAGAAATTGGTGCAGCGGTTACCAAGATAAACACATGTAACCATAAGTGGGCGTGGCTACGCCCATTTTCCAATAATTTATAATATTCTTATTTTTTGTCTAAAACTTATTGTAAATATCAATTTTGAGTGAATAATCTTCAGTATGTAATTACTAAAATATCGCAGTTTTCATATTTCTGAAAATTACCGTTATATGGGAGGTAGGCGTGGTTATTGTCCGATTTTGCCCATTTTCAATACCATCCGTCCTACGCCGATTCGTTTTGCCTGTTACAAACAACCGTTATGTGAACAAAGTTATAATACCCTTGTGCACAAGTGCGCTCGGGTATAATAATTACACGCACAATGACAAACATGAACAAATGTACAACAATCACAAAATTTTTTACAATCAGTACAGTTCGCATTTATATCAACGAGCAGCTTATTAGATTTGTTTTCGTTTGTACTACATATGCAAGAATGATAGAATACAAGATTGCGCCGATTGCAGCAGAATTCGTGAGAGTAATTTTAGCGTGACGTCATCGTAGAGTTGACAACTGAGAGCGACTAGTGATGTGCTGAATTGTCCCCAATACTCGGTACCCAATACTTAAAAAAGATTTCGGTATCCGATACCGATTATTTACATTAAACCCTCGCCATTATATGCATTTCAGGTTTAGAAAAAACTTTCATTACTAATTTATATGATATCGGCTAAAACACGTGAACTTATCGCCACAGAAAAATATTATTTTATCAGTTTCAACCTTAGTCGATCCAAGGTTCAAGAATAATACTTTGACGGATGAAGAAGCCTTTCAGGGGAGAGATTCNCTGAGAGCCGAGTAGCGGTATCGTTATCGGCGCCACCTCTGTATTCTCTCCACCGTGCTACATATGTGCATATATACATGTACTCAAACATATGTACATACACAAACATATGTACATACGTACAAATATATAACAACCATTCAAACATATGTACATACATGAAAACATTGCTGTCCATAAGTATATATTTACATATGCCCATCAGTACATCAACGAAGCCCGTTTGCTTCATCATAAATATATCCATACAAACATATATACATACATATGTACGAATGGGTGTAGTTACGCGAAGCATGCTTGCATCATTTACACATATACTACGTTTATATGCATGCATAAGTCGCTTTAACTCATTTCGCCGCGATTCAAAACAGAGCAAAGTGTTTTGGCTCACACTCCATTTCACATCGGTAGTTTATTTCTCCAGACAGTTAGAAAGAGTGTATAAACACCGCTCTCACTCAAAGCGAATTGGAGATCAGCTGTTCCACTCAAATTCCAAATAATCGCATCAGTATTTAAAACCTGATTAATAATAATCGTTCTTTTTCTTTGCGACGATTTTATAATGCCGAATAAAACTAGATTTTTATCACTTTCTATTATGTTAACTTATAAAATGTCAAATGAAAACAGCTGATTTTGTTTGCTTTTGAAGACGGTTACTTTGATACCGATATAAAGCCGTAAGTATAAACACTAGAGCGAAATGTGTACGATGTCAATGCGCTTTCAATTAAGTCGAGTATTTTGTGCGTATAAACGTAGTAATATATTGCTTGGTAGCGGCAGAGCTGAAATGCGCAATGAGTTCGTTCTCACAAACATATACACATACGTGCATTCAAACATACATACATATATACATATGTAGGTACTCCCACCCGTCATGCGTCGCTTTATTTCTTTTTTCCCTTTCCATATACTACCTATATCTTCCTTCTCACTCATGTAACGTTTTCAGTTTTAAAAATTTCACTCCGTTTTTGCGATACCGCCGCCTAAGAAGTTTCACTTCAAAAAAGTATTACGACGAATTAATAACCTCCCCCTCCACTTTTTTGAAGTTGGTTAAAAATATTTGAGTTCTTTGTTAATTTTATGTAAATAAAGTGCAATTTATGAAACTTTAAACAGTTTATTTATTTATTTCAAACTGTACATAAAACTTGCATCAATTTATTTTAAAGAGCATATTACAACTGTAGCCAAACGCGGCTCTTTGCTTAGCAAAGTGCGGCTCTTTTTACTTTCCTTTGTCTAGAACATTTTGGCTCTTTTTACTGTTTAAAATACATATTTATTTGCTGTACATACTTTTCCATTGTGTTGTTTTTCTATTTTATTCTTTATAAAAACACATACGCAAATTGAGATTGAGAGAGAACATTTGCACAACTTGAATTTGTCTCTACAAGGAAAGAATAAAAATGTTTTTATTTGTGGCAAATTATTTTAAGTTTTGAAGTTTCATGATCTCAAAAAAAAATATTTCATCATTTTCCATTGCAGATTTTGAAAAAAGGTTTGCCGATTTGAGATTATTTAAATGTACGTTTGCATACTTCACAAACCCTTTTTTATATAACATAATTGAGGATGAATTTACAATATCCGAAATACTCCTTTTTAAGAAAAGCGAAGAGGAGTTGGAGTTTTTGGAATTATAAGAAAAGGTACTGGAAATGCCACATAAAGCTTTGCTATTGCTTGAATTCAACAGGTACCAGATTTAAATTATCCC